TCCTGCTACTTGCTGACAAGGCTTGAATGTTTGCACAAAAAGCAGGCTGTATCTTTGAAGAAGTTGCCTTGCCTTAAAGCCTTTTCCTACCTCCTTTTCAAACTTCTGTCTCTGGAGGATAATTTAATTCCTTCTTTATTCCTTGACTATTTATTGTTTGTCTTGGGTGATTCAGCAGAAGTGAATTCATCAGCTTCCCTTGGAATTAGATGAGGGGATTTATAGGTATAGAAGAACCGCAAATCCTGTCTCCTTTTGTGGAGAATAATTGTAAAAGATCTTCCACTAGAAGTGCCAGAACTTTTGAATTTTAAGTTTTCATTGCTAAAATGGGTATTTCTTAGGTTGGAAATGCCACCCCCTCCAGTCCTCCCAAAATAATTCCAGTTTTGAGTCAGACACATTACTAAGCTTCCTGCTACAACAGTCACAGATGGCAGCCTGTGCAAATAGATCTTTGCTGGTGTGGGTTGGAAGAAGCAGTCTGGGGAGTATTTGGAGGCTTACCAGATGTTAACTATCTTTAGTTAGAGGTTGGTGAGTCTACTGGGACTGTGTAACCTCTGCAAGAAGAGGTGATCCTCAGCAGGCTTCAGTAGACAGCATTTCCTATTTCATGGTGAAATGTAACTCCGATTTGATCTCTTCATCATAATAAAAATATCATTAGATTTTCTTTTGAAGTACTGGGAGGGAGTAGGTGGGGGAGGAGAAATCTAGTAAACTGAATGTAAAGATTGCAGATGTTCCCAGGCATTGCCAGCTGGCTATAGATTTTTCTTGGCTCTTGTTGCAAGCCCTTTTGAACTATATGAAATGCAAAGGCCCATGATGGCCCCATAAGCAAATTCTTCGAGTGAAAGGATAACACTGTCAAAGCCCTTTATGGTTTTTACATCAACTAAGCTACAAGTAAAGGTGGATATTTGTGGCATAAAAACACAAGGCTGTGTGCTTTGCAAAAGACTTTAGTCCTAGTTTACCTTCATTCACAGACTCCCTCGTGTGTTTGTGTCAGTGATCCAGTCAGACAATTCCCTCTGTCCCTTGACAAGCATATCAAGTGCATGCCTGCAGTCTGGAAAGTCAGTTGATACCATCTGGTCAAGTGCTAATGAGGCTGCTGGAATGCTGGTGTCAAATGGTACCTTAACCTAAGCAGATTCCATGTGAGATGATGGACTGGCACAGTTGAACTCTGAACTGTGTGATTCCTCACTGAGTTTTGTCAGCTGGTCTGGGTGAAAATGGGGGGCATTCTGTACTAAGACCCTGCGCAGCAGTAGTATGTGGGTGGTATCAATGTGAAGAGACAGCCATATATTGAAGAGTATGAAAAGACCAGTTCTTTCCTGTAGGAGCCCCAAATGAGAAGCAAGGAAAGGCTTTGCATCTGTTAATGCTCTTGAACCTTCCACCTGATATTAGAGCTTTAGTTGTTTATTTCATATGCAGCCTTTCACAAATGTCTTCAAATATTTTTTTGTCTATGTGGAAGCAGCGTGTCACAATTCTAGTGTGGCAGAACTTGCTCGAAGTTTTGGGTGGTAAATGCTTAACCTATCTTGTATTAATATGGTAATATATGATAACATCATGTTTGAGTAGCCCCTCTTGAATGTAGGTGGGAACAACTGGTGAGTTTTAGTGTAGTGATACTCCAAGTAGTGTGTGAAGGAAGTCCTATCACTCCTGCATTGTGGACTGAAATAATCTATTTCCTATGCTTTTGTTTTTTTCTGAATTTTTTAAGTGGGAGTCCTGAGTTTGATTCTTGGTTACATTTGAAAGTCAGAGCAATGCCCAAAGCTAGGCCTTTTCTACTTTATGGGATGTGCTATCTCGGCCACTAGAAGTGTATCAGAATGACAGAGATAAAGATACTGATTACAGAAAGTCATGAAGCCTCACAGAAAGAAGACTGGTGGTCAAGCTGTGGGAATGTGAGTTTTCCTCTCCTCCATAGGGCTCTGACTGCAACATTGATCAGTGCCATTGCTTGACTGCTTTTTAACGAAGTGACTTTGCTCTGCCCTTTGCTCCCTACCTTAAGAGTGCTCCTGTGAAAAACCTGCCTTCTGCTGAGAGCAAGAGAAAAGTGACATGAAATCTCTTTGTACTAGTGCTCTGTTCCCTGCAGACAGCAACAGGTAAAGGATCTTATTTATGTCTTGCCATCAAGAGGATAAAGTTTGTTGAATTTGTTACAGTCTGTGAGTTCAGGTATCCTCTCCTCTACCTTCCAGTTACTGTTACTCTTTCTTGTTTTCAGGAAAATCATTCTTATCGTAACAACAGGCACTTACTACTAGCTGTTGCTACCTGATGAATAGCTATCGTTTTTCATTATTGGATATCAAGTTAACGCGTCTGGCTCAGTTGTGTTCTGCCCCTGGAGCAGCAAAGATAGAATTAAATCCAAGCAGCGAAGAGAATTTCAGTTTCAGAGAAGAGGACTAACAGAAAAAGCACTACTGCTGCAGTGAATGCTGCTTATAAATTTTGTGCCAAAAAAAGTTAGTGCAACATCACTAATGAAGTTGAAGGCCAGATTTTACACAGCTGCAAATAAAATTAATGCTATGTTTTGCTGTGTCTGCACTGATCTTTCCCACTATACATCTCACGTATGGCACAAGGGAAATGGTAAGGATAGCTGCTGGTGTCTACCTGCCCACAGGGGTGTTGGGGCTGTGCTAAGGAAAGTGATTTGGATGGATATCTTCATAGGGATAGATCTACAGACTGGTTTTTACCAGACATATCTTAATGTTTATTAAAGTTTCCTATTTGCATGGCTAAGCAGTTACTGTTATGTGAAGCCACAGAGAATGGGACACATCATTACTTGTCTCGAGAGCGGAGGAGGGGTTCCACTCAGCATGCCTGTGTGCAGGTCTGTACCGTGGAGAAGTCCTGCATCTCCTTGCCTCTTCTGGGAGTATTTTGGGAGTGCCCTGAGAGGCTTACTAAGGGCTGTTTAGTGAGGCAGCCCTTACTTTCAAGAGCCAGAACAACCTTTGTGATGGCCTGCAATAAACTGAGCTCAAGCAATTGAATTCAGATATTGATTTATTAAGGAGTTTGGGCATTGGAAATTTTCATCCCTTGGGAATATCTGACTGGGAATGTTGCTGATACTATTGGATGCTTTGCTAAACCCAAGGGAGAATCAGGTGTGGCTTGAACACTTACTGGTGAAGACTGAGGCAAAAAAGTTGTTGAGTACCTTGGGCTTCTCCATGGCCCAGGGAAGCAGGTATCCTGTTTCCTTGCCAAGGAGGACCCACATTTTCCTTTTATCACTGATGTACCTAAAGAAGGTTTTCTTGTTGCCTTTGACATCTCTGGCCAGATTTTAATTTTTAATTCCCTCAGGGCTTTAGCTTTCCTAACGTGACCCCTGGTTACTCAGACAATCTCTCAGTATTCTTTCCAGGCTACCTGTCCTTGCTTCCACTCTGTGTAGGCTTCCTTTTTATATTTCAGTTTGTCCAGGAGTTTGTTGCTCATCTGTGCAGGCTAGTATACCATAGCCTCTGGAGGCTGTCCCTCTTCATCCAGCAAGGGCAGCTGAAAGTCTTGTGAATCAGGTCTTAGGTGCTACAGTGTCTCAGGCAGGTATGTTAACATAATAAAGAACTTTAGCTTAATTGCCAACAGCTACTGCAACCTGCTGATGGCCTGAGCTGCTCCCATTTGGTCCATGCATCAGAACCCCAGTTTGCACAGAGTAGCCTGATTTAGATGATGTAGCAATATGGCTACAGAGCTTCCACTTGGTTTTCAAGGTGGGCAAAAGTTATTTATGCCCTTCTGTATAGGGACTATGCCTTTTTCTCTCTTATGTGAAAGAAAACTATGTACTTACTTATTTTTCCCTTTCCTAGAGAAAGCACTTCTGCTGCATTTATAGCGTTTGCCCTTTCCTTTTGAATTCTGTTAATTTATGTTTGTTTTCACTTCTCCGTCCCCAGTGTTGAATCCTACCTTTTCTACTAACTTTTCCTGAATGGCTCTGTTTCTCCCTTGAATTCTTTTTCTGGCCTCAAAGTTATTTGCATGTGTTTACAGGGAGAGTAGATATGTATGTAAATGGAGTTGTCTTTGCCATGGTAATATGATCTTCAAAGGCTTGAACTGCAGTCACTTTGCTGCATTCTTTACATAAAATGTTTGTCTTGGCAAGTTGCTGCCAACAGAGTGCTGCAAGGGCCCAATCCTGCAAATTGCCTTCTGCTCCCACTGAACTCATGGGGCTTATATGCAAAAAAAAAATCCCCAAACTTTCAAATTAGAGTTGTGTGTTCTTTTTGCAGTTATGTTCATGTTCTACCATTTTGTCCTTTCTTTACTGATGTGATCTGGAAGTGATCATTAGTTCTTACCTTTTTATGACCATTTGGTGTGTGTTAAAATACAAGAGTCTGTAGCAATGGAGGAGGGTACCTAGGTTCCAATCCAACATGGAAACGGTGGTTTAGGAGAGGTCTGCCTTTATGAAGGTAGTCCACAGGGAGTCCTGAGTATGAGGCATCACTACCTCTTTTTGTACCTGTTTTTTGTCTTCACCAGCAAAGCTGGTCAGTGTATGCTTTGCTGTGGGCTGCAAAATCATGAGCTGTGGTGGGTAAGGAAGTTGCACACCCCAGGGCTGGGGAGAGAGGATACATAATCACATGAGCAAAGCAGGAAAAGAGTGCATCAGTACCATGTGTCATCAGCTTGTATTACAAGCCTCCCCACAAAATTCTCAGTGGAGCAGACCTATGCCTTCCACCAGAGTGGATCTGAGAGGTGATAAGGTGAACACACACGTGATTCTACTGCAGCATCCTCAAGTCTCTCAGTCTAGAACCTTTTCTGCGTTCTAATACTTTCCTGATCTTGGGACTGTGGAATACGGAAAAGAACCTCCTGCTACTGCCCTTAGGTCCCATCCTGTTCTTCCAGTAAGAGGTCACATATTGGGAGTTACCCAGGTTCTCAGCCCTCTGGGTGCTTGCTTACAGCATGACCCCTCAAACCTTAGCTGGAAAAACTGCGAGGGAGGAATAGTGGCATAGGGTGGAGACAGATAATTCACAAGCCTTTTTTATAGCTATCAGAGCTACTGTCTTACAAATATAGCAGCTATTCATTAGGGAGTATTAATTGGTATAGTCATAAGTGCTACTCTCTATTTGCTCTGGAAACTGAGAAGCGATTTATATCTGTTGAAGTATAAACTTCTGTAACAGTGGGGGGTGTTCTCAAAATCCCACTTACCACAGGCAGCTGGCCCCAGTTTTTTTCCTGCTTGAACATATGTGGAGTACTGTGGTTTACCCAGGGCTCAAACTAGTCTAGCTGTTTAAGGTAAAAATCAGAATTGTTTATGTAGAAGCTATTTTTGATATCACAAAAGTGATATCAAAAGGTGTTTCAAAAAGAAATAATTCGTGAAGATGCCTTCCATGTGGGTAATTTAGCACTTACGTTGTTGTGGAGTGTTGACATGTGGCTCTGAAATAGCTGCATGTTTTACTCAAGTCAAGAATGCTGCAGCCAATTGCAAGAATAGGGAGAATTTCAGTAGGAAACTGTGTTAATTATCCATGCAAGATGTTCACACTTGCTGCTGTGTTTCATATGTTTTCATATCTGCTGAAGTAAAGCAAGAAAAGTGTTGTGCTGGGGCAGTGTGCATGCATGGCTTAGAGCTGAATAGATGTAAATGGTTAAAAAGGGGTTCTCTGCTAGAGAGGAGGAGGGGAAAGTAAGAGTGCATTCCCAAAAAAGTACATTCCCAAAATAAAAAGCTTACATCATGGACCTCTTCAGTTTTCCCACACTTCTTTCCTAATTATTGTCCTGCAGGACAGCTGATCTATTTCAAACAGGAAGCTGTTTACAGATAACACTTGCAACTGTTTTGTCTGATTTGTTGAACTGTCGAAAAGCAAAAGACAACCTCTTTTCAAATTAAAAACTGTCAGACTTCTGTAAACAGCAGCAATGAGGTTCATCTGTGCAGTGTCCCTGCAGGCACAGAGCGTTTTGCAGTTCCCATTTTCTCAGCAGCCATAAGGTAAGAGACTTTTATGCTTTAATTCTGTAGAAGCAAGTAGAGGAAAAAGTCTGTGTTTCTTAGGAGGCCTCCTCGTATAAGACAAAATATAATTGACGATCCCCAAATAGTAAGGGAAGGTAAGGAAAAAAAGAGCTTGGTATCTATTGGGTAACACTGGACCTTTCTATTGTGAAGCACGCATGTGGGTTAAATCACTGAATTCCTGTTTTATTTAGGGGAGGTTGTATTTAAAATGTACAAATGCCATTGGAAGAGCTCACTTTCCTTTTAGCAGGGAAGGACAAAACAGTATATGAATTTTAACTTTTTCTACAATTGAAAGTTATTTTAGTTCATTAATGGGTTGTAATTCCTGGTAACAGATATAGGCAGTTGTCTGTTTTCTGCTTTAAAAAGTGATCTTTTAATACAGCTGCAAAGCAGGGAATGAAGGCTGGCATTGCAGAAGTGAAACATATGACAGAAGGTCCAGTAAGAGCTGGAATTACACCACTGGATAATTAGGAACAATCTCAATGAAAACCAAATCATGTTGGAAATAGTACTATGCAGAAATGCTTAATGAGATATAAGGATGTATAAAGATAAAAAATCTTGTTCTAAATGAGCAGGAATATGAGAATAAACCATACTTCAGTAAGCAGAAGGGCACGTATGTCTGCTTTTCAGTTATGAGCTATGAAAAATTGAGATTCATAAGGGATTTGCGAGTTTCCATTCTGACCTCTGTGCGTACATACATACGTGCTCAGTATAGGCAGTGAAATTCTGAAGAGGGATTGTTTTCTAGCAAAATCAAATAGATGTGGAGAATCTTACGCAACTTTACTTGCCATATAATGAAACAGAACAACTGGACTGGAAATACTACAACTTTGACCCTTGGGTATTGAAAGATTTTTAAAATATGGCAAATGTAAAAACTGTTGCCCTATGTTTTCTTCTCTGTAGCTGAGATCTTTTATATTTCATATCTATATGATCATTTACATGATCACAAACATTTAAAGCATTATAGTGATCAGAAACTACAATACAAACACTGATTTAAAGGTCTCACTTGTAACAATGATACTATCCCTAAAATTTTAGTATATTACTTATGCAGCATCAGTAAGGTATGCTGATGTTGTAGACAAGAAGTTAGACTTCCAAGCTGAGCATTCCTTTAAAAATGTTTGGACTGTCTTTCATAAAATTCTTAGATGTATCTGTTACAATGAAAGTATTGTTTGAATTAATATATGAAAGAAAATATGTAACTTAAATTCATAGTCAAAATGACATTTTAAACATGGCATAGTCGCAGAGTCAGCAGAGAATTGCAGTGTGGAAGCAGCAGAAATCTACTGTGTAATTTGTAACTGTACATCATGTTCAAGACTATTTTTTCTGATTACTTTTGAGTGATTTTACACTGTTTCTAAAGTTCTTATTTAGTCATCTTTAGGGCTGTCCAAAAACTTTTGAGCCAGAATCCTTTTGAAGTAGGAAGACTTTTGGCAAAGTAGCTTTTAAAGTCAAGTGTCAGTTCTCTGGGATAGTTTAGTTCTTTTGTCAAATTATTTTGGCTGAAACCCAGGAGAGTTTAGCCAAAAATATTCTCGTGGTTTCTCTGGGGAAGCGTAGTTTGTGCTTTGCACTGCATTTCACTACTGGCTGAACTTCACAGCTGAACCACACTTCCCATACAGCTGTGTGGTCAGGGTCTCGCTATTTTAATTTCCCTTGATGAAAGGAGTGTTAAGATGTATTTTGGAAAAGGTAGTCTAGTGAAAGAGCCACAGACTGGGCTCATAAGGCATCAGCTGGTCAATAACTAGTTGGCAGCTTCTTAAATTTCGACTCCTTCCTTCTGTTTTGCACGAGCCATCCTGTTTTTCAGCCGTGAGAGTAGGACCCTTCAAAACAGCGTGATATGTCAGTAGAAGGTTTAAAGCTTTTTGATGTTTTTATCCATGTAAACAACTGTACAAGGGAGAGAATATTTAATAATGTTTCTAAGGCTTTGTTAGTGTTTCTGCCAACTTTTGTGCTAAACGTGCTCCATTTTATATATTCAGAACTGAAAAGTGCAAGGGAGTATGGCTGAATTTTAAGATCTTTTGAGAACTCTGAAGTCAAGAGGCAAACAACCTAGTAGGAGCCTGAAACTTTAGAAAGAGGCGGT